GAGTTCTCATCTTCCTTGTTCTAACTTTCTTCTTTAAAGATTTTTCACACAAAAAGAGATCCACTTTTCCGTTATACGTTTCTTTTTAGAAAGCTACATCATATCTGTTCGAGAAGTAATTCTCGATAAAACGGCAATATTCTTTCGCAATAAATACCCATGTAAATATGAAAGGATTTCAACGAAGGAGAAAAATATCTTCTCCACTGTTCGTAAAAAGGTGGCAAATTTTTATGGCAATTTCATACGAGAAATCATTTCATAACCATTCATACATTTTTAAGAGACCTTGCGTCCTTAAAAAGAACCTTAAAAAGAAACAATTTAACAGTTTCTGAAAAATTTATCTGTCAAGTTGAATTATCATTTTATAATACGAAAAAATATATGTGTGTGTAACATTCATTTACCCAATAAAAGGAAAAAGAGATTTACGAAAAGATAAAAATTGAAAGTCCTGAAAAAAAATTCTATTCTATCTGATTATGCAGATTTCTTCTCTTTAAATGATGTTTCCACTTTTTGTAGTATTTGTGCAACTTTAAATATCCTTTTATCACAGAGCATAATATGAAATCTTTTTTTAAGAAACGTGAATTACTATTACGTGAAAATTTCATTTTGAAGAATTTTTTTCAATATTTTAATAACAAATGTATATAAAAAATATATATAAATGTATAATAAAAAATTATCCTTTTTTTAATATAATGATATAATGAATAGTAAAACATAAACATCAGTGATTTTAAACTAAAGAATAGAACTTTGGAAAACAAATATAAAAATTCAAAAATTAATTTTTACCACTATTTACTATTAAAAAATTAAAAATATATTTTAATATTCGTTACCCAAAAATTCAAATATTCTATTTTATCCAATATCGTTATCCGCTAAATTAAAAAATTAAAAATATTCCGTCAACAATTCCTCAAGGTTCAATATTAAAATTTCCATCCACTTGAAATTCACCCTCTCGAGACTATGCGTCTTCGATATACATTAAAACGACGACAGAATGTTCCAAGATAAACAGAAGAGGTCTCTGAGTTGAAGAATGCCGCGGATATCCTATGTTATATTCGTTAATCGAACATTAATCTTCGAAGACACACCACCCCGGAAGTGTATTAAACTCGTGAATTAATCCCGTTTAAATTCGATTCGCAATAAAGCAAGGGGAAGGTTTTAAATCGTTTCTCGAGATGAAACATTTATCAAAAATTAATATAAGCATTTATCAAAAGTTAACATTAAAAGTTATTTATAAAAAGTTAACAAAAAAAATTTAAATTCGCATTTCGTTAAATAAACTCGATATTTCTTAAAAATGAATAGATAGATTTTATATTAATTTCAATTGGTAATTTAAAAAAATCGTTTTTATTCCATAATTTTGATATTTTTTATAAAAAAAAAGAAAAAAATCAATAATTTCATTTTTCAGAGGTTATTGAAATTATGCTGTTTATAATGCAATGGAAAAAAAATCACAATTCTTATTCAATATTCCTTGCAAAAAAAAAAATAATATTTAAATAAATAAGAAATTTTATCTTACATTAATTTCAATGAATCAACCCTCGCAAGAAACAAATTCAAATTTTTACTAAAAAATTATTATTTCACATATAATTTTAATTCAACCTTTCTAAATCTTACAAGAAATAAAGAATCTCCTAATAACATCCCAGTTCAGTGATTTTTCAAAAGCGATTAAAATCTGTTGTTTACAGATACAATTAATTAAAAAAAAAAAAAATCACAATTCTTCTTCAATATCCACCAACTTTGATCTTTCCTTCGAATAAGGAAGAAAAAAGGAAAAAATACATCCTTTATTAATTTCAACGAACCTCCACCACCAACCTCCACCACCAATCCTCCGCCAGCGATCAGAAGCTATTAAAATCACGTTGCTCTGATTCCGTGGAATTCCACAGGCACAGAGGGGCGATTTTAAACGATGGAAACGTTTAAAGTAGCGACAGGTACGAAAAAAAATATTATTATATCGTTTCCAATACGAAGATGGGCCCACGATACCGGAATATTAATGGGGGTGGTTTCTCCTCCGTTCGATCACGTAAAGGAAACGTGTGCTCTGTTCCTTTCTATCAGAAAAGTTATAGTGGCAATAAGTAAAATAAGATTTTCCTCCGAGACTGTCCTTTTTTTTAGATGATTTAACTTCGTTAACGTTTAGGTTTACTTTGCTCTCTTTCTGACAATATGTGCACGTTCTTTTGTGAGAATGATTCGAATGAAATGATTAATTTGATAATTTGGAATAAAAGTGAAATTAAGATAAACAGGAAAGTTGTTTGAAATTTATATTTCTTTGTTATATAATTAAGATTGTATAGAAGGATATTTTGTTTAAGGTTAGGATGAAATGATCGAAATATTTCTATGGATTAGAATAAAATTAAATTCGAAATTAAATTTTTAAAAGATTGGTAAAATTTGATTTATCGATGAAATAAAGAGAGAATTTCGAATACCTATCATCTCTATAAAAAATATTTATAACGTTTAAGATATGCCTTAATATTTCATAAAAAAAAAAAAAAGACTGATGAATAAATTAAGAAAGTTATATTAAGAGTAATATAATATAATTGATTATTTAAAATGTCTCGTTTCAAAAATTATACTCTTCGACAAATAAAAAGAAGAAATGATATTAATATCATTATTCAACAAAAAGGACCTGTAATTCGCTTTTTAATTCAAAAGTTTCAAGGGAAATTCAACCACAGTCTCCTGAGTAATTTCTTTATTCTATTATGCAAACTGTCAAATCCCAAAGGATCGAATTATAATCACGCGTTGAATTCATTTAATTAAAAAAAAGTTACTTCTTGCTTTAAGATTTTTTACTAGCTACAACGAATAATCAATTTTATTTCATTACCCTGTTGCATCATCTTAACATGCAAATATTCAAAGTACAATACTCCATAATGTTTGAACAATAAGTTCCATTTTTTTTTAATTGTATTCATAAAAATTCGATTTTGCACAAGCCATTTAATAATAAGTAATTAATAAGACTTAATTCATAAGCCAATTACGCATTTTAAACAACAATGATTTCATTAAATCTTATTGTATGAACATAAATTTCTATAAATTAAATAATTAAATACAATTAAAAAAAATAGACGATTTGATTATAAGAATTATTTCAGATTCGTGAAAAAGTTTTATTTTAACTTATTTATATCCATTCCAAATAATGAAAATATCACGTTGCGCGGAGAAGACAAAGGAGAAAGGGTCAACGTGGGATCAGACATCTCTGGGAGGCGACAATACTTAAGATCTGCCTTTTTGCTCGTGTAATTAAGCAACCAGATAATAGAACGCGACAAAGACGTTGCCAGAAACTTACGTTTGGTTCTTTAGTTGCCCACAGGCCAAACAAAATGAACGAGCAAGGGAAATTAAAAGCTGGATTATGCGTATAACTTTGAAATATGTTGTAACTTTTACTGAATGTTTGAAACGTTTTATGGAATTATATAAGTATTATTATGAAATAATATTATTATATTTTGATTAATTGGTTCTCTTTCTTTCTAGATTTATTTAAGAAGATAAAGTGATTGTAGAATTTTTACATTGGGAACTTAGATGTATATAAATTCAAATGATGTAATAAAAGTGTGTTATCTTTTATATATTATACATCTAAGTATATTTTTATAATTCTATAATTATTGATCTTTAGACCTTTAGAATGTTGCAAATCCTTTCATTATTCAATTTCAAAAAAGACAAAGAGAAAGAGAGAGATTTTCATCATTTTTGAATTTTAAGATTGCTGTAAGCTTTCTGAATCTTTTTAATCTTATGTGGATTTTATGAGCTTTATGGCTTATACATATATAGATATAATATGATATTTTAAGAATTTTGAAAATTTGATAATTTTGTATGTTTTACTATTCAAATTTGAACAATTTTTGCCAAATTCTAACAAATATATTCTTATTTGATGAAAAGACATAGACTTGTTTAAAAAGATAATCTTTTCCATTATTAAATAATTGAATTTTTGAATATGTATTTCAAGAATATGTTCAAGAATATATATTTACATTGATTCTTATGAATTTTTAAATTAAAAGATCACTTGATGATAACTTTAAAAGAAAGTTGAAAACTTCTTATAAGAAGCTTGTTAAAAAAAGAATTTGGTTTGAAGATTGCTACTTCGTAAAATAAAAACTAACTCATTTAAAATTCTAATATTCTCCTTTATGAAAAATGTAATTTTCATAGATTAGAATATTGATATTATACATTTTTTCGTTCCTTGTTAAATTTAAAAATTAAATATCCTATATTAACATCCTATATTGGCAAATTTTTATCATTATTCTTATATATTTTATAATTTTAATCTTTCAAGCTATACAGACCTATTTAAGATTTTCATCAACCTATAATTTCAATCTACATATATAAAAATCAAAATAGAATCACTAAAGGTTTTTCTCAAATTTTTCTAAAATTTAATTTTAGAACATTAATGCTATATAAATTAAGCAATTTTATGAAATACTTTTCAATATTTAAATAATTTAATATAAAAAAAATTTTATAAAAAATTTCTGTGAAATTTATGATGCACATTATTTTTTAAAACTTGAAAAGAAAAGCTAGATTTGTTGAATTAAAATCATAAAATGGTTATAAAACTCATTTAATTTTTCTATTCTAAAATATTATAAAAACAATATCTATTATTACCCCTATAAATATTCTATAAAACAGAAAATCAAAGAAAAATGAACTCTCTTTTTCCCTATATAAATATAATTAAAGTAATTATATTTTGAAACATATTCTTTCAATATTTAATTCTAGTTATACTTTGAAATTTCTCTTCACCAAATATAGTTTTTGCATAAGAGTAACGAATACATTTGCATTACGTTATATTTCTCTAAACTATCAAGCTAAAGACATGCAAAAAAAGTACTCACTCTTAAACGCAGCTTCAACCCCACGTAGCCTTCCAATGACAACTGCAAGTTGTTCCTTGTGTTTTATACTGTCCTGCTCGGATTGCTCGTTGAGCGCACGTTGAAGATTCCTCTCCGCTTCTTCTTCCTTCAACGTAATCGTTTCCTGAAGATGATCGGCATGCACTTGTTCTTGCAATTTCAATTGTCGCCGCAGTTCGTCGTCGAACTTTTTCTGCTCCTCCAACAACTGCAAAACAGGGACAAATTTTGATTAATCCTTTTTCAATCTCGGATCAATAATTTTTCATTTCTTATTGATTATTAAATTTTATTTTCGTTCTTTTTGAATAGTTTCTTTTATTTTGAATTATTTTTTTATGGAAGATATAGAAATATTAAAGAAAAAGATAAAATTTTTGGAATTAGCAAAATTCATTTTTATCTTTGTCTTTGAATAAGAAATGAAAATTCAATTTTTCCTAAGATACAAAGAAAGAAAAATTTGAATGTTATTGAAGAAAATGGACAAAATCTAGAGTTTGATAGATAATGTAAATCAAAAATAATTTATAAAACTCTTTGTGCCTCTTATCTATAAATTTGATATTTCCAAAATGTAAATATTTTGAATTAGAATGTAGAAAAAAAAAATCTAAGAAAAAATGCATCTCAAAATATTCTTTTATATTTATCTGAATCATGATGGTAATAAAATCGTAATATTCAGTTGAAGAAACGGCGTTAAGAATTAGGAAAGCCTGGAGCGTAGCTCGATGTAGGACAAAGAATGACAGTCAACGAAACCGCCCCTTATATTTCAAAACATTGCTTTTGGGCAACGAGGGCGTAAACAAGGAAAGAACGACTTGATTCCTCGAGTTCTTCATCCAGAGAACAAAAGTATACACGGGGTGTCTTGGAGTACGGGAAAATATTTAAAGAAACCGTTTGTGAGACCGTCCTCTGTGAAAAATGTCAGACATTTTCCATCCCCGCGTAAGCTCTAACAATGAGAAAAATTTTTAATACAAGAATGAATTTTAAAAAAAAAAAAAAAAATTAAACAAGACATGGAAAAATATATAATCCATGAATTACATATAATATCCATTCCGACTTCAACTTGTTGTAACAATTCAATTTCTTCGATAAAAATTATGAAATCAACTATGCTCAATTAAAAATAAGTATGTACTTATTATTTAAAAATTTCGTGAATTCTATTTATTTTCTGATCTCTTCATACAAATTCTCTATCTTTATTTAAAAAATAAAAAATGTGTGTAATAACTTTAAATACTCCTGTATAAAAAAAAAAAATTAGATACTGTTATATTTTAACTAAATATAAATGTACATAATATAAATAAACCTAAATAAAAAATAAAAAAAAATCCTACCATATATCTAATTAATCTATTTCCCTCAGAAAAAAAATTCAACATCTCGAAAATCCTCGATCCAATCGAATCGAGGATTGAGTTTAACCACCGACCAACAACGACTTTGACTAATTATCTGCGCCTCGAGGCTCGCCACCCTTATTGACAAGCGAGCCAAGCATCTGCCCTAATATCCACAGCTTTCTTCGTCGTTCTCCGCTTTCGTTTTCCGCTTGGCGGGCAATGCACACGCCTGTATCCACCCTTCTTCCCTATGCAAGGGAATATCGTGTCAATAATTAACGGTCGGCTGACTCGACAAGCAGCCATGTCGAGGGTAAGAGACAACAGTGAACAACGTGGAGACTGAAGAGCACGAGATACTTAGCCGTTAAATCCTTCGATTGGCCAATCCTGATCGATCCCCCCCTCTCCCGATTAGGGATCATCATCCTCGTATACAAGCATTGGATTTTCCATCAATTCGACAGAGACGCGATCGAATCAATTGGCGATTTAATCTTGGGGATTAGAAGTGTTCGTTATGTGTAAAGTGAATATGAAAAAAAAAAATTATTTTTTTTGTCGTTTTGTCCTTTTCAACGGAATAAAAGTTGATTTCGATTGCTAATTGGTTTGAGAAATTGATAGATTTTCGTCGAAGTGTGTAAATTATTATTTTTATTGATTTTAGAAATTCAATTAACTGTTACGAAATTTAGAATAGAGTATAAATACTCGTTTATATTATGATTATTATTAAATTTATTAAATTATTATTAAATTAATAACAAAAAAAAAGAAAATGTAAAAAGAAAAATTTAAAACATAATCAAATTCGTCGCATTTATTATATTAGTAATATTAATAATTAATATTAATATTAGTATTTATTATATTACTAATAATATATAATATATACTAATTAATATTAGTATTTATTATATTATTTATTATACTTCTTCTATTAATTACAATTAAATATATATCAAGATTAATAAATTCCACCAATAAAATATTTACAAAAATAATATATACACATTCTTTTATCTGTTATACAATTTATATAATTATTGTTATATTGTTATATTTTTTAATCATGAAAATGAAAAAAGAAGAAGAATAATAATAATATACAACATTTAAAAAAAAAAAATATCTCTTCAACAACATCTTAAAATGCTTTTCACCAACAGAACTCAAACAAGATCCTTTCCTAACAACCAAATCGGTTCCGAACAATTTCTCTCGAACACGTCTCCTCGTCACGAGGACAGCCCTTGTCTGTTCACGTAACTCGAAAATTCGTCATGTACTCCCGGGCGTGAAAATCGAACAGCCTCACCGAAGGGAACAAAGAAACATAGAAAACAGCAACAATAAAACAAAACAAAAAAAAAAAAAAAAGAAACTAAAATAGAGAGAACGAGTCTCTCTGGAATACAATGGGCCATCGAATGCGTTTCCAGTCGAAACGAAACGAGGCGCGAAGGGGTTGAAAGAAAGAAAGAAAGAAAGAAAAAAAAGAACATCGAAAAAGAAAAGCGTAGAGAGAAAGAGAGAGCAGAAAAAAAGCAGGAAAATATGATTTCTGACACCTCGGTGGTGTTTCTCATGGCGAGGAAATTAAATTAATCGGACGAGTGATCGCGCGCGGCGGTCAGAACGAAGAAAATAAAAAAACATAGGTGAACAAAGAGAGATTTTCATCGCGGCATCGTGCGAACTATGTTAATCCGATGCATCGTTCTCTAATCCGTTTTGAAAAATCAAAAACCGTCCACCCGGCCATCTGCCGTGATAACTGGTAAAATGGAATCGAAAGAATATCGGTCTAGTTTTTCGGATTAGAGGGGGAAGAGAAGCTCGATTTCGCGAAAGCTTTCCATTTATAGAAGTCAATTTGTTCTATTTCAGATAAAGAAACGAAGAGAAATTCTGAAATGTGTTTACTGGTTTCGAATATAGCGAAAAATGGAAACGTATTATAAAAGATATAATATTTTTAATAATTTTTTTGGGGGGGAGATAATATTTATTGTTGTGCGAAATAAATTTTGGATATTTTGATTTAAATTTTATCGAAGTGATCTTCATCGAAATTTATGAATTTTGCATTTTTTAATTTTTAAAAGATGGAAAAATCATTATAATGATTCATTTAGATATATATGATATACATTTCTATAACATATTCCTAATTTCATTGTTGTAATTTTGTATTGTTTTCCCTTTCTTCAAAGATTGAATAGTTTCTGTTGTTACTCCCTACCTAGAACACTCTCCCTATATAGAATCATCCTCTACATGGTAGAATTGCTTCCTTAAACGTAGAAATTTTTCTATGTCCCAATTTCATTACGGTTTTTACTGAACTTCAGAGAGATATTACCTCTCTCAGAGGGAAGACACAGTTTGCAGAAGGTAAGTAGATTATTTTCTCACCACTGATTCTCGATGGACACTGTCCACGAAGTAGTTGGAACTGGAAGAATATCACTAAAAATGTTTATAGCTACTATAAACATTTTTCCAGGAATAATTTTGAAAAATACGTCTAATTAATAAATAACATATAAAAGATAATTGAGAACAATTTTTGGAAATTCTAATTATTTCTTTTAATAATCGAAGAGGAAATAAATTCAAATATCCTTTGGAAAAAAACGTCATATGGTCACCCATCCTTTAATGAAACCTTAACAAATGACACTTCACTTTAGAAAGCATCTATCATTGGCCAAATGTTTTACACCACATTCGAATTCAAATAAAAAACTCTTTAATAAAACATTTAAAGACATATTAATTCATAATTATTGATAATTGAAATAATGATGCTGATTTTAAAAAATGAACTTTATAAAATGTAATTATGCATATTAAAATTTATTTTTATTATTTAAATTATAAGATATTTTTATAAGAATATCTAATTACAATTTTTTTTAATAATGATACCGTAATGATATTATCGCTTTACAATTCTGCAACTTTATTATACAACCATGTTTTTCTTCTTATCTAATCTCTATAATCTTTAATTATACTTTAATACATACCTATACACTTATCCTCATGTATGCCATATATATGCACTTCTAATTATCTTTAAATATCAAATTACTTTAATTTCCACTATCTGAAATATTCAACATTCTAGATTGTATATTTAATAACCCCAATTATTAAAGCAATAAATGAAACCAATATATCACATTTTAATCTAAATATTAATGTCCATCATATACATTTATAAATATTCATAAATATCTATAAACATTATTTTATCTAACCTATTATTCCTAACATTTTTTTAGACACCTTATAATAAATATAACAACAATATATAAATAATGAATTAATAATATATATATATATAGATATTGTATGATGAATCTTTAATATTTTTTCAGTATTTAACATAATTTAATAAATAAAAACAAGACCTAAAGTGTTACAAAAAATTTTCCCAAAAATTAAAAATGAAGATATGCTTAAAAAAGAAAAAAAAAAAAGAATTATATCAAAAATTCTTTGAAAAAAAACGAAACACATAATCCCGTGTCATTCTTCGAAACTTTCAACATCCCAAAGACGAGACTTGCGCGTAACCCGTGTTACATACCCGTTTGTCCACCTTCTTCGGGTTCCACCTTAACGAAATCGAGTGGAAGGCAAGGATTTAATAACGGGGTGTGGAATCGACTTGGGACGATCGATACGTCCATTTCCGATCGACGCTTGAAAAGATATCCGGCCGTAATAGTTTCGGTTTGACGGACTGATGGCCACGGGTCGAGAACCGGATCCCGATCCACTCTGACGCAACGAGTCGATATTTTAATATTCAACGGTCACCGAT